CAGAATTGCGAGATATAAAGTCAGAATTGCGAGACAAAGTCAGAATTGCGAGATATGAAGTCAGAATTGCGAGATGTAAAGTCAGAATTGCGAGATATAAAGTCAGAATTGCGAGATATAAAGTCAGAATTGCGAGATATAAAGTCAGAATTGCGAGATATAAAGTCAGAATTGCGAGGCAAAGTCAGAATTGCGAGATATAAAGTCAGAATTGCGAGATGTAAAGTCAGAATTGCGAGATATAAAGTCAGAATTGCGAGATATAAAGTCAGAATTGCGAGATATAAAGTCAGAATTGCGAGATATAAAGTCAGAATTGCGAGATATAGTCAGAATTGCGAGATATAAAGTCAGAATTGCGAGATATAAAGTCAGAATTGCGAGATATGAAGTCAGAATTGCGAGATATGAAGTCAGAATTGCGAGATATCAAGTCGCAATTGCGAGATATAAACTCAGAATTGCGTGAAATAGTCACAATTCTGAGAAAAAAATACAGAATTGTGACTTTATCTCACAATCCTTTTTTTACACTTGTCGCAATCCATCCTGTTATTGGCTTATCCACAAAATACGTATGTCTCGGAGTTGGCCGACTCTTTTTCAGGGTAACAGATCTGGATCTTCTTCAGATTGAAACGCAACAACAATAGGCGCTTTGTGATGTTTGTATAGAGATGGTAAAGTGGAGGGCTGGCTTAGTGATATTTCTTTGTGTACTGTGTACTCTCCCTCTCTCTCTCCCTCTTGTCAGATTGCTCTGTGTTTGCGTCACGGTAAAATAATCTTGCAGACCCACGTAACTCCTACAGCAGATTTCTCCAGATGGATATAGTGAGTCCTCTGTTCTTCAGTCTGGATCAGTGCCGGCTCTCCTTTCTTCCTGGCATGTCATGTGTTTAGCATGGTACTCAAAATGGACATGGACTTCACGGTGCATTGTAGAATAGATGGTTGCCAGGCAACCTGATATGTTAGTCATTGTACCATCAGAAATGTTCGATCCCTCACAGTTGCCACTTCTATATTTGTCAGCATGTAATCAGAGCTCCTTAATTAAAGGCGTGATTTGAATTTGTCTATTTGTCCAGGAAAATGAAGATGTCGAAATATTAGCGCGTGAGGAGGTGTTGTCCCGCGCTCTAATTGGGATCCTCAATGGAAAAGAGAAATTCAATACGAGGAGAATTAATTCTACCTTAAGGCTTTGGCCTAATTTTGGCTAATGGATTCTTACGGGCAAGCACGGATTAGTTCACTTCCAGGCTTTTTGTTCTTCGAATAATTTATTCTGTACCCCATTAAATACAAATGTTCTCCCAAAAGACACCCTTCAAACCTCCAACCTAAAGAAAAATTGATCAATAAATGCACCAACCTTGGAGAAGTTCTGATCTGTCGCTATAACAAGGGGTTTATCGTGTTATCTGTTGAGTGATTTAGCACTTAAGATTAAGAAGAACACTTGTGATTTGCATTTTATTTTCCCACAGTTGTTTTTCAGCTCTGCCTGTGCAAATCCGATTCTACCGCTTTCATTATTGGGCTTGTGGCTTGTTTCGTTTCGAGATGAATTAGCCCTCTTCCAAACACAACTGTCTGTCTGGAATGTAATTGATTGTTTGGGAGTAGAGGAAGGGACCCTGTGGAAAAATAATTTGTTGCTAACTGCTTTAGTGCTGCACAGAGTGTAATCTCAGACAATGAGTTAGTATTTTACACATTAGCTTATGACTACATTACCGAGAGTTAGCACATGTTTGTCAGATTGTGCATTATTCAGGCATATATATATATATATATAACAGTTATGCTGCTTAATATAAAAAAGTAATAACCTTTGATACTTTTTTCAGGATTCTTTGATTAATTAAAAGTTATAAAAGAACAGTATTTATTTAAAATATAAACTTTTTGTAGCAATATACGCCACTGCTCAGTTCACCTTGGGGCCAGTATCAATACTTTTATCCAGCAAGGATGTGTTAAATTGAAAAAAAAAAAAATCCTGATTTCTTTTGTTAGAAAAGAACAAAAGAATTTTTTTATTTCTTTTATTCATCAATGAATCCGAAAAAATAAAATAAAATTAAGCAGCAACTGTTTCCAAATTTGGTAATATCAAATCAGCATAGGCCTTTTAGCATTTATTTCTGAAGGCTCATGTGACACTGAAGCAATGGCTGATGAAAATTCAGCTTTGCATCAGAGAAATAAATTATAATTTAAAGTATAATCAAAAAGAGAACCATTATTTTTTGTTGTTAAAATATTACACTATTTAATTTATAACATTTAAGACCAGTAGACACACTGTAAAAAAAATATTTTCATGATTTGTAATCACAACATTTTTTCTTTTGTCAAATCAACTTAGATAATTTATGTAGTTCAGATAACATAATATTTTGAGTTTCTGGTGATTAAATTAATCTCCTTCATTGCATTAACTCAATTTTTCCATTTCAATTAACTTAACATTTTAAGGCAACCAGGATACTTATTTTTTAAAGTTAAACCAACAGTGTATTTTACAGTGTACTAAATATTAGTGCCCTTGGTAAATATGAGCAAAGGCAGCAATGATTGGCACCTAATTATTGCAACGCCCTTTCCCCAAGATAACAGGTCTTCTTCTAAGAGTCGTCTTCTATAATGCCTGATGAGTTTGGAGAACTCATACATGAAATGCCAGGGGCTGTTTTTTTATCTAATAGTCTTCCTATTTCCACACAAATAGCATCATTATAGTGTGCAAATGTATGAATTTTTTTTTTTTTTTTTTAAGGAATCCGAAATATACTAAATCACAAATATCTCGGAACATCTGCTGAATTCAATTTTCCAGATAAAATCGACTCATTGTAACACGGATACAAAAAGAACATGTGACGCGAGCACGTTGAACATTTAGGGACATCGCCAGTCCAATAAAAAGTAAAAATAGAGCGTGTAACGCATCTGGCTTGGGTTGTCTCCCGATCCCATCCGCCATATCTGCCATGATGAACTCAGATAAAGTGTGTTCCCGCTGTAATAAAGCATGAGCGAGGCGGAGAGCTAATGTGCTGGAGGCTGCACTGCTCTTTTGTCTGATCTCTTTGTTACAGCTTCTGCTTTCTGCTGTTGTTTAAAAATAGTGTTTGACACCACTGTCAGTGTTCAAGGGTCGAAAAGAAACTCTAGTATTATCCTTTGTCTTTTTGAGTTTGTCCAAGTCTGTTTTTATCTCATACGCACTGTGTGTAGGAGGTAAACAAGTCTACTCTTGTTATATTGCCTCCTTATATAAAGTATTCTACTGATTTCACAATTTAGTGTGTATGTCTATCAGCTTTATTTTTACATAAAGACTTTATATTGGACTGGCAGTGTCCTTAAATGTTCAATGTGCTCGGGTCACATGTTCATTTTGTATCCCTGTTACAAACCATTTGTTTGAAAGCTTAATTGCGTTTTTAGTTGTTCACAAAAAAACACAAAAAAACCCTGGTCTCTCTGGGTTTCAAAGGCAATTATTGATGAGTAAACATCTCGCAATTAATCATCTATTCATTAAAAGCTTCTGGGAGTGATGAACCATGACAAATCAATAGGATTGTCATCCCCGCTGTCCTTCTTTTTGCACTGCATGGATTGTAAATGGTTCAATGGGACGATACCGTGGTAACACTTTCCAACTAATCCTGCCTCACCCTCCTGGAGAAAAACAGATCATACCAGTTTACGAAGATAACAGGCTTCTCGTTAAGTTTGACCAGCTAGAAATCTATTATCAGAAGCATTCACTAATTATAACTTGCATCCTCAGCAAGATTCTCATCAGACTGTTTTTCATCTCGACAGCAGATGACCTAAAGGAGAAAATAATGTAGAAGACAATTTTGTAGTAATGCCGGCTACAGCAGCCTTGCGGCTCTGAGAATACAATGCAAAGCATTCTGACACATTTTGGAACACAGTGATGTGTGAAATCATAATTTGCATAGCTAAAAGCCTTCAAGTACTTTCATAGAGTATTGTTCAGGCTTGTGCAGGGGTGTGTCCAATCCTGCTCCTGCAGGGCCACTATCCAGCCAGTAGCACCTCATTACACGAGATCCAGGGGTGGGGTGGGGTGGGATTAGGGGGTGGGGTTAGGCATCAGGGGGTGGAGATGGGTAGGATTAGGGGTGGGGTTAGAGTTCAGGGGGTGGAGATGGGTAGGATTAGGGGTGGGGTTAGAGTTCAGGGGGTGGAGATGGGTAGGATTAGGGGTGGGGTTAGGGATCAGGGGGCGGAGATGGGTAGGATTAGGGGTGGGGTTAGGCATCAGGGGGTGGAGATGGGTAGGATTAGGGGTGGGGTTAGAGATCAGGGGGCGGGGATGGGTGGGATTAGGGGTGGGGTTATGCATCAGGGGTGGAGATGGGTGGGATTAGGGGTGGGGTTAGGCATCAGGGGGCAGAGATGGGTAGGAGTAGGGGTGGGGTTAGGGATCAGGGGGCGGAGATGGGTAGGAGTAGGGGTGGGGTTAGGGATCAGGAGGCGGAGAGGGTTAGGGTTAGGACAGAACAGAACCTCCACTTAAAAATATTCTACCTTCTTTTTTTTTTAATCAACACTTTTCACTTTTTTAAGCAACAACATTTCGAACAAAAAGCAGAGAAAACTCTGTCCGGATGGGATCCAGAACGATAATTAAAAACGATAATTAAAACAGATTGAGTATAGATCGTGTCCATCACCTTGTTTGTACAGTCCTGTACCTCTTCCTGGGTTCAATATTTTTCTCTCTAATGTTAGACGTTTTGATTTGTTGTTGTATGTTTGATGATCACTATAGCTGATTCACACACATTGCTTGATTTTGGATCCAGAGATGACGTACTTTTTAAAATAATCTGTAAGAGCGGTCGCTACAGTAACAGTGAAAACATATTGTATATCGTCAGTGAGCATATCCTCCGTAATTTCATTTCATAACCCTCTCTCTCTCTCTCTCTCTCTCTCTTTCTCAGCTGGTGGGCGGAGAGTTTGACCTGGAGATGAACTTCATCATCCAGGACGCAGAAAGCATCGCCTGCATGGTGGAGCTGCTGGAGCACTGTGACGTCACCTGCCAGGCGGAGATCTGGAGCATGTTCACAGCGATCCTGCGGAAGAGCGTCCGCAACCTCCAGACCAGCACAGAGGTGGGGCTCATCCAGCAGGTGCTGCAGAAGATGAGCTCCGTCGACGACATGATTGCAGGTGAGCACCCGGAGTGATCCAAACTTAACATGAGAAGCTCAAAGTCATTCAAAGAGAAAATGTCTGGCCAATGCCCTCAAATTCTGGATAACCAGAAACGCTGCCCTGGGAGCATTGAAAAAAATGTATGCATTTAATAATAATTATATTATAAACATTATTTTGTAGTATTTGTGGTTCTTTTGTAAAATAAATGCCTAATTATAATAATAATAATAATCATTATTATTATTATTATTAATAATAAAATAAACATCATAATAATAAGGCATTATATTATAATTATATAATAATAATAATAAATAAAAATAAAAATTATTTTGCAGGATTGCATCATCTTTTGGTGGTTTTGGTTCTTTGTAAAATAAATGCCTTGTGATAAAAATAATAACATAATTATTTTAATTATTATTGATACTACTACTATTACTAATAATAAATTATATTAAAATAAACAACAACAATAATGATAATAAGGCATTTATATAATGCAATGACAATTAAGATCATAATTATATTATAAGTATTATATTCTAATTATAAAAATAAACATTATTGTGCAGTATTGCAGCATCTTTTGATGGTTTTTGGTTCTGTGTGGAAAAAATGGTTTATTATCATCCTCATTATATTTATTGATAATAATAGCATTGTTAGTATTCATAATAAAATAGACATCATTTTGCAGTTTTGCAGCATCTTTTGATGGTTTTGGTTCTGTGTGAACAATTATTAGTATTATTATTTTTATTGATTGTAATAAATTTGTTATTCATAATAAAATAAACATCATTTTGCAGTATTGCAGTATATTAATTTTGGTTCTGTGTGAAACCAAGAATCAACAGTTGCAGTGATTTTTAAGTGTATTGTTCCCCACAGTTTTAATACTGTTTATGTCATATGTAAACTCACCTTTTTGTGGGAAATACACCTCGTCTGTGCTTCCCAGCAGTGTAAAGACTTCAAGGCACTTTGGTTCTGAGCACATCTATTGTTTACACGACCAGTGCCTTCAAATGGCAAATGAAAATCCAATTCACCGAAGAGAAAAGAATCAGTAATTTGTGTGGTAATCTTTGTTGTATCACATGCTTGTCCATATGTTCCAATCCTCTATGATTTGGCTCCGTTGCGTTTCAGAAAAACAGGTTCCACTGTCTCGCTAAACCCCTCATTGTGCATTCTGTGTCCAATATTTCTGTGTAATTACGATCAGTGGACCATGGCCGTCGTTTATTGCAGGGGTAATGTGTAAAATTGGCTCTGTGAACACATTTGGGAGAAAGCTTCTCTCTAACTGTTCTTTAGACAGATCCGCGTGTTAGAAAATTTCGCTGCTAATCAGACAATTAGTTATTATACGCTTCCAGCTTCTGTCCATTTTTGACCAAATTTGTGGCCTTCGAGTGAATGGCGTGTAACCGGAATCAAATTACAATGATATTAAGCCACGACAAACATCACCGCTACGGGGTTGTTATTTTTCTCAAAATTCGATTATTTAATGTCTCGCGCAACATTTTAAAGAGCTTCTAAATTCATAACGCAGACGTGTTTGACAGCGAGCCATTCCAGCCAATACGTGAATGAATACTAGACTTGGGTTTTCATGCCGTTGAGAGCCACGATCTGATGACTAAAGGAGCCTCAAGAGAACTTGCTGTAGATAATGTTCCAGCAGAAAGATAACGATTGGCTCCTTGCCCCCCGAGTGACATCATCCTCATGAGTCTGCAGTTCTGTGCACCGATAATGCTGAGTCATTTCATTGTCTTCTTTCTGTCTTTCTCAGATCTCCTAGTGGACATGCTGGGGGTTATGGCCAGCTATAGTATCACAGTGAAGGAGCTGAAGCTGTTATTCAGCATGCTGAGGGGGGACGGAGGCGTGTGGGTGAGTTCTCTCCCCCCTTTTACACTGACTGGATGCTGTTGCTGTGAGGGACAATTCAGTCTCAGTGACCTCTGAAAGCAATTCACTTGTAACGTTCTGGACTTCTTCATTCGCGATAGAGGCGGTTGTACTGTAGTTATGAGGTTTGACCGACATTATGAAGATCCATTTGAGATATGAGGTTTAGTCAAACTTTTCATTGGTTAAAGGCCCTTTTAGCTTTTAGAAGGAATATGTTAGTCTTATGGTGCGTTCACATCGGACGCGAATAGCACGTCAGGCGCGAGTGATTTCAATGTTAAAGGAGAACTCTGGCGCAAAATGAACCTTTGGTCTAATTACACATTGTTACCTAGTCAACCGTTATCTGAGATTTGTTTTCATGATTGCAGAGTGTAAATAGTTTTATTTCTAAAAAACAGTTTAGCCTATATCGGCGTTCGTAGATCGACTGGTAGAGACTATTTTTCAAAGATGGCTTCTTCCTGTATTCGCGAAGTTGACTGTGTGTATAAAATATCTTCTTATTAAACTGTTTGGACACTGACAAAGTTCTGAATGCTTCGGTTTGAATGTAGGGACCCTTATTATGCTACCGTGTTACTGTGGGGCTATTATGAGCCTTGTTAGTGGTAATAACAAGGGATTTTTATTTGTCATTACTCTATGCCCTATATACTAGCGTTATACTAGCGTTATAGGCTAAACTGTTTTTAGAGATAAAACTATTTACGCTCGGCAATCATGAAAACAAATCTCAGATAACGGTTGACTAGGTAACAATGTGTAATTAGACCAAAGGTTCATTTGGCGCTGGAGTTCTCCTTTTAGTCAATGCAAAGACGCGCTACGCACGTCTAAAATTCCTGCGGCGCGAATGAGGCGTAGAGCGCGGCGCAGTAGACGTGAATACGCCTCATTCGCACGTCAAGTTCGTGCGAATTGTGTGTCTGGCGTGTTAAACGGAAATGATTTAATTAGTGCTATTTGTGCATTTACGTGTTCGACGTGAATTCGCGCCTGCCGCCCGAGTTGAAAATTCTGAACTTCGGCGTCAATTCGCGCCGCGTTAACCAATCAGGAGCCTGCTGCTTGCTCACGTGGTGAAGTATCTGGATGCCTGGTGTTCTAATGCACAACAAAGCAAATATTTTATCACTTAAAACTTTATTTCAATATACGAGACATGTTCAATTTGTATTGAATGTTATTTATTCCATATCTAGATTATATGAAATATTATTATGATGTAAAGACAACCAACATACATGTGCATAAGTTCGTGTCTGGACGTGAGAGAGAAAAAAATTACAGGACCGGTTAATAACTTTTGGAGGCTGGCTCTGTTTATCATCAAAACAAATGACAGATTAGATGGATGAGGGCGAGGGTGACATAAACTAAACGCTATTGGCTATTTGAAAAGAGGGAGGAGCCATTCCTGTTTCAGTGGAAATTACATCAACGCCATTGGCACTTCAGCGGGCCTTTAAATAGTAATGATTCATGAAAAAATGGTTGCTATAAATTGTATTTGTTATAGGGTTAATGACTTGGACCGTGAAGATTGGGATTCAAAGTATGAATATTAAATGTGTTCTTAAAAATCTGATATGTGCAGATCATTAGCCAGCTCCCCTTTAGAGACTTCCAAGCCCGAACGATCTCCTGTCCGCCGGTCCTCTCCATGGACACATCTGTCTGGGGTTGCCCACGGATCGATGTCAGCTGTGCTGCTGTGGTTAGGACTGATGGACAGGCCATTGATTGGCTGAATTAGAAGTGTTTTTTTGGGGGGGGGGCGTTGACTCGAAGATGATGGTTACCATTTATTTTTGACTTTCATGAACATATACATCTTTTCTTCCGTTGTCAAAGTCTTCTCTCATTATATTTTCCTATATTTTCCTCTTTCTCTCTCTCTCTAATTACAATGTTCTCTCTTAATTGTTCTCTTCCTTCTTGTGTCCCGTTTCCCTTAGCCAAGACACGCCATTAAGCTCCTATCAGTGCTGAATCAGATGCCTCAGCGGCACGGCCCTGACACCTTCTTCAACTTCCCAGGACGCAGTGCGGCGGTGAGACTCTCCCACACCTTTTACAATAAAGCTTTTGTAGAATCATTCCAGACATTATAAGGGTTAGCATTAGACTTGTGTGTTATGATTATAAAACTCCAAATACAAAAACAACAACAATAATAACTTATCATGCTGTTTATATCTTAGGGGATATTTTACCATTTTTTTTCCCTAAACTACACCTTCCTTTCCCTAGACTATACTATACTATATGTATACACTACTGTACAAAATCAGTAAGATTTTTTTTAAAAATAAACTGATACTTTTGTTCAGCAAGGATCCATTTTTTGATCAAACGTGACAGTAAAGACATTTGTAATGTTACATAAGTTTTAAATTTCAAATAAATGCTGTGTTATAAACTTTCTATTCATCAAAGAATCCTGAAACGGTTTTCAAAATTGCTAATAAAAAAAAAAAAAAAAAAAGAAGATTGGAGTAATGATACAAGAAATTCAGCTTTGCCATCACAGGAATAAATTACATTATATATAAAACAATATTTATACAATGTGATTGTTTTTACTGTATTTTAATTAAATAAATCCAGCCTTGGTAAGAATTCTTAAAAAAACAAAAAACAAACAAAAAAAACATTTAAGATCTTGCTGACCCCAATTGTGTATTTAAATGAGACATTTGTACATTTAAATGATCTAAATGTTAAATAATTATATTATTAAATATGAATAATATGAATATATTATTATGTATTAAATTATTTTTTATTGAATCATATTCGTTACAAATAGAAGCTTCACATTTCCGCCTACAGACTTCCACTTTAAGTGTGTAAATGTTTTTCTTTGTTTCATACAAACTGACAAATGAATTGAAAATATTGTCCATGGTAATAACACTGATGCTGTTATTAGAGTGCTAATTGTATGTATTAAATAGCATTTCACCAAGGTCAAATTTGTACAAAATGGTCAGTTGATTATATACCAGCTTGTTCTGCAAATGCTGTTTTAATTGTGCTTTTAATTCCCTTGTGTTTTGCCCCCCGGCAGGCCATTGCTTTGCCGCCCATTGCTAAGTGGCCTTACCAGAACGGATTCACTCTCAACACTTGGTTCCGAATGGACCCACTCAATAATATCAATGTAGACAAGGATAAACCATACTTATACTGGTGAGTATGATGCGTATAATACATTAAGGAAGAGCAGAGGTACCAGTAACGCTTAATGCTGACCACTGGTCAGTCATTATAATGTAAATGCCAAGACTGCATAATCTCTGAGTGCCTCAACATTCTCAGCGTGGTAGAAACACGGGAGGTCTGTGCATAGGAAATATTATATTACCATTTCTGTTTGAAGTGGTAAGTGTCTCTACAGGGCTGGCCCACAAGAAGAGACTGCTAATTCAGGAGTGATGAGCCCTGCCCTATTTTTCAGTCACCAAAAAAAGCCTGCCGCCCCAGAGGGCAAACTAGAGAAACTCACAAAATTCCTAAATGTCATATAAGAGAATTGTCTGAAGAACCTCTGGTTGTTTTTTGGAAACCAGTAGCGTAAACTGAAGATGCCTCACAGAGGATCCTTGTTAGTTTTGACCTTTAGTTTAATGTCAAGGCCTATATTCTACACTTCTGTTGCATTTTATTCTTTAGCCTGGTTTTAATGTTATTACTCAAGTTTTCTTGCACAAAAACATTGGTAATCCGCTTCATGAGACCCCGAAGGACCTACAAGTACTTGGTCCCCAAACAGATAGGATGATCTGTTGATGCAGTTACAGTAATATATACACAGTGGTATTTTAATTTTATATGATCATTTCCTGTAGCTCAACTGACTGTGCCAAAGTCATGGTTTTGATTCCAAGAAAAGATGTATGACTTGAATACACTGAATATATCGGCCTTAAGTAAGCACTGAATTATTACTGTATAGAGGGAATGCATTGACGTCACTTTCCCATCCGAACAACCCCCCTCAGCCTGACTGAGTGGCAAAAGATCTGCTGCGTGACTGGATTTAATAGGGGAAACTGCGACTAAAGCGAACAATTTTATCAATTTAAACTAAATGTTGGACTCAATATAGTGTTTCTTACAACTTCCTAAAGATCCAGTGATCCATGGATATTGACACGCAGCCAGGAATCGTGTCGCCTGACATTTATGTTTGCCTGATTTCGACACCGGGGAAATAAAAGCAATATAGATCTAAACATAAAGCAAATTTGCCTGTGAACGCTTTATATAAAGACAATATAGGTCTAAATCCGGGTGATCACTTATATCAGTGTTATATATAGCCTATATATATCATCATATCGTCCAGCACTAAAACTTTATAGTTTTTCGCATTCCCTCTATATATAAATGTGACTTGTATAGACCATTTCACAAGATGTAAACAACACTGGTCCAGAAGCACTTCCTGTTTCAGTTTTTTAACACTACATAAAAGCTGGGTTAAAATACAACCAACAGAACATTTAAAACTGAATCAAAAAGTTAAACAAACATCTTTAAGATTTTTTTTTTACATGTGAAATAAAGAAAACAGATACAAACTGAAACAGGAAGTGTTTCTGGACCAGTGTTGTTTACATCTTGTGAAATGGTCTATATAAATGTGTAAGTCACATGCTTATAAATAAAATGAATATCTATATGGCTCTAACAGCAGTTCTTCAAAAGGAATTTACACACACACATATAAAAATGTTAATTAAAAATGTTGAAATATTGTTTCACACATCAAGCATTGTGTTACTAATATTTTTTTTCATAAAATCACTTTTTTCCTCTTTTTTTTGTCCCCTAGTTTTCGAACCAGCAAAGGGATTGGCTACTCGGCGCACTTTGTGGGGAACTGTTTAATTGTGACATCGCTGAAGTCGAAGGGGAAAGGTTTTCAACACTGTGTGAAGTACGACTTCCAGCCCAGGAAGGTGAGTTTTGAGTTTTGGCATATCTACACACATAAGGAGACATAACTAGACGACAGTACAAATGGTCTTTTCTTTCATTAGTGACATAACTATTACTATTTGTCATATTTGGAGTAATCACCTGCAAGCCCACATTCAAATCTGCCTCCATCCAAACAACAAACCAAATAAAGAACCACAATCTATTATTTTCGATAATCGCTTTCACTTGGATGTAAATTACAATCTGGAAGAAAGATTTGTTGCTACTTCAGTTACATCACGACTTCAAATAAATATGATAGATTGGATTCTAGGGTGAAGACGAACATTAAAGGAGTAGTTCACTTTTAAAAGAAACTTTTGCTGATAATTTACTCACCCCCATGTCATCCAAGATGTCCATGTCTTTCTTTCTTCAGTCGAAAAGAAATTAAGGTTTTTGATGAAAACATTTCAGGATTTTTCTCCATATAATGGACTTCAATGGGAACCAAACGGTTCAAGGTGAAAAAGACGAGTGGAATAAAGACAGGAACAAGATAGCAAAGCTGCGCATATGATTGTTGGTGATTTGAGAGCGCGAAGGCTACACATATGCATCCTTTCCTGTGTATGGGATATTTTCCAAACAAAGGATCCTCGACATTGGACGGATGTCGATGACGGAGCATCCTCGAAATTCCGGCTTCCGGAAAATATTGTCCTGAAAGTTATTTCTCTGGGAATCTCTGTGGATATCTGGGAAGATTCAAGGGCTGTCGATTTTTTTCTCTACAATACTATTCGAATTCCATTCCTTATTTTATTTAATATTTGAATATTAAATGCTAAAATGTATCCTATTATTAATATTTACGACATTACACATGCTTATGAATCGCAAATGCCACTATAGCATGTGGTTGTTGTTACACGTTCGGACCTCGATGTGCACCGAATCCGTTGAGATATTTGCGTTTTTCGCTTCTCAGGTGCTTTGGGGGGTGCTTTGTACGTCGTTAAACATTTAGGCTACCATTTTTGACAGTTGTTATGATGATACACCGTGGATAACGTTCACACTTGTGTTACGATTCAAAAACGTTATTGTTGTTCAGACGAAACAAAGGCATTTCATTTTCACATGCGTGTAAACCAAGGCGGCGAAAAGGCAAGATTGCATATAAAAGAAAATTACATAAATATACATTAAAAAAAAGCAATATTCAAACAGTAACTTCAGCATTCGAATAGTATTGATTTTTTTTTTAATATTCGAATTATATTCAAATTTCGGAATTTGTTCCAACAGGCCTAGAAGATGCACATCTCTCTCTCTCTCTCTCTCTCTCTCTCTCTCTCTCTCTCTATTTTTGCACAAATTTGATGTCCACTGAGTCACACCTGAAGCCCTTCTGGTTTGATGGCTTCTGCATTTAAGGAACAAAGGGAATTCCAGAGGGATTTATTCCCACAGCATCTTTTTCCCCTTTAGCACACAAGATCTGTCTGTTTATCGCTCTTTTTTTCTTTTTTTCTCTCACTCAGAATGGGCTGATACAGCAACATCTGGTTTTTGATAACTTGGCTCCTCTTGTTGTCCCGGTGGGATGAATTCGGCTCAGTCGCACGAGTTGTTAAACGACAAATGAAAATCAGTTTGGCAAGGGGTGTTTGAATACGATACCTCATCCTGTCTGCTCACGGAGGAGGACGACAAGGGAGGGTTGTGTGCCAATTAGAATGCAAGCTATACCCCCTTCGCCCAGACACACACACACACACGCTAGTGTGCGAGAATGTGTACTCGGTCTAACAATGAACTTCACAACTCAGCCCAATTAGTCAGCACTTTGTTCTGTTATTGAAACGAAAAGGCTGGATTTTAATCAACCACTTTGTTATTCACTCTTAGATTTATATTAAGCTTCCTTAGATATTAAAGAGTCAAAACAAGGGATCAGAGATGTGAACAAAAAAGAAATGTAATTGAACTGAACTGAGCTAAAAGATCGGTCCAGAACTTAAATAGTTTACAGCTTGTTATTGGTTAATGGAGAGCATGGGGTCAGAAGAAAAGTTCAGGAAACTACTCTAAGGCTGTGCTTTTGCAAAATTCAAAGCCTAGTCTAGACAAGGACAGCCCTCACTTGCGTTTATGTACAATCTTAACTGGCATTAAACGCTATGAAATCTCAGTTATGGGATGGATTTCCAGTCTAGCAGATTTGGGCTTATCCTCCCCCCTGTCACCCCAGCTAATATCGCTTTACGTTTTAATAACATGCTCAGGATATTTGGGAAATTAGGCCTTTTGAGGAAGTTTACATGATCTAAATCTCCCGAGATGTGACGGGCCACAGTTATTTATTTGAATTACGACACGTTTACGTGATCCGTGCTGTTGTATTCCTCACTGGAAAGCTTTCAGACGTCAGCGCTCTGATCTTTAATTCATATGCCAAAACAGCTTTTAGCATTGCTGCAATCAAACAGAATCATTCTGTTTTAGTAAATTTAACTCTCAGTTTAGAAGCATGTAATGAGGTTATGTTTCATGTGCTTGATCTATTTGAACATGTTCATTTTCACAGAATTTTCGGAAACACTTTACTTGAAGGGGTGTGCATAAGACTAACATGACACATTCATATTTATGACATGACATGAATATGAAGGAAGTTTTATGACAGTTGTTGTTTAGTGTCATTTACTCAGTTATGACTAGTAGTTATGGCTCAGTTGATGTAATGCAAATATGACATTGAGACTGATCCTTTCATCCACAAAATTACTCACCCCTCAAAGCTGTTAGAATGTGTGCAAAACAATCGCAGGTGTAAACTCAGAATTCAGTCAGAGTTGTGAAATAAAAAGTCGCAATACACTAATCACAAGTCGCTTGCCTCTGGTGTGGACAAGGTGTCATTATTTCAAATTGTTGTGTTTAACAGTGGAATTCCTGGTGAAAAAACGCGTTACCCATGATGCTGTGCAGAGAATTACACCAATCAGAGTGTCAAAAAAAGCAACACACACCAAAATAGCTCTTTAGCTCCGCCCACCCCCATGAAGCACTGCGAATGGATCGTGTGTTGATCTGTCCACACTCTCAAAATATTCAAATATTTGTGTATATATATATATTGTAATAAACTTAAAATACATTGTTTTTATATGTAAATTCAACATTTGTAATCCATCAGTTTGATTATGGCGTTCGCAATGCTTTATGAGATGTAGTTCTTTCCCTCAGTAAAACTGTTAAGTACACAATCTCAAATCAAAGTTTGTAATTTTATGATTCACCTTGTTGCTGATTGGCTAATTTCATTGCTTATAATTCTTTATGAAGAATTTTTTTTTATTTTGTTTTTAAATCTCATGTTCATGGAAAAATGTACTTCTGAAACCAGTGCTACTGAAAAATATGAAAGATTTTTGAAAATATGAAAAATGGGCTGGGCACTGTTTGACTTTATTTTGTTTTTCTATTCTTAGGTGGAAAATGTTCTTGCATGAATGAATCATGTTTGCTTCTGTACCTTTAAATAAATGACCTTTCATGCTTGGCTGTGTGAATATTGAATCCCTATTTCTACTTCCTGTCCTCTCCTGCAGTGGTACATGATCAGCATAGTCCACATCTACAACCGTTGGAGGAACAGTGAAATCCGTTGCTATGTCAACGGCCAGCTGGTTTCCTACGGCGACATGGCGTGGCACGTCAACACCAATGATGTAAGTGTTTGTGCTGCTAGCTCTCATTGTTTTCCGTATCTCGCCGTTGTCAAAATCATGAACTTGCTATCAACTGTTTTTCCCTCAGCTTTAAAAATAATTGCACCTGAAGGGTCCAAAAAAATATGTGTTCAGATAAGCACTTGTCTCTAAAGATCAACGAGATATGGAATAGCCATAGCATCCCTCTTTCCCTAAGGCAAACCTTTAAAGTACTTTGTGACTAGCTAAAGTAAATCAGAACAAGATGATAGCAAGAAGATAGCAAGTCAACTGCTCCAGAGGGCCTTTTCACAAAACTCCCAATCTGTTGAACCACTTTTGGTGTGTGTCTTCCTGTTTTTTATCTTTATTATCTTTTCTTCCTCTCTCCCGTCCTGCAGAGTTATGATAAATGTTTCCTGGGCTCTTCAGAGACTGCGGATGCTAACCGGGTGTTCTGTGGGCAGCTCGGAGCTGTCTATGTCTTCAGTGAGGCGCTGAACCCCGCACAGATCTTTGCCATTCATCAGCTTGGACCCGGATATAAGGTACAACCCCTGAGATCTCGTCTGTATGTGTAATGCTCTTTGCTGCGCTGCTGGGAGAAACTCCTCCATCTTTGCTGCTTGATTGTTGAAGTACAAAATTAGCGTTTTGCGCCTAATTACTTTGTGCCGTAATTACACTCTATGCTGAGAACATTCAGATGGATTATTTCTGAAACTGACTGGCAGTGTGTGTGAGAACCCTGTGGGAATATTCTTGTCTTTCTTTCTTCAGTCGAAAAGAAATTAAGGTTTTTGATGAAAACGTTCCAGGATTTTTCTCCATATAATGAACTTCAATGGGGACCAAACGGTTCAAGGTCCAAAAGACAGTTTCAGTGCAAACTGCAAAGTGTCCAAAGGGCTTTAAACAATTCCAGACGATGAATAAGGGTCTTATCAAGCGAAACGAACACTCGTTTAAAAAAAAAAGAACAAAGTTTAAGTTTTATAAGCTCAAATGGTCGCCTTGCTGTTCTGTGATGCACTCGTTTTGTGTTCGAACTCATTTATCAAAATGAACAAATCTTTTTTCGTGTCATTTGGTTCATTCAACGAACGAAATGAATGAGTTGACTCTGGAAAAGATTCGTTCATTTTGATGAACCAGTTTGAATAGGAGAGTGCAGTTTTGTGTGCAGTATATCTGAGAAGTTCAGTGATCGGACATTGGGCGGCTCCTGAGACGTGTGCTGTGCTGTGAGAAGCACTTTCTCATTACACCGGCTCTACATTTCCCTGACAGATCTGTTAATAATACCTGATGTTCCACTCTCTTCTCTCTTTCTCGTTCATTAACCGGGCTCTCACCTCTCAGACGGGCCTGTCTCACGGGTCTATATGCATGTGGGAGCCGATTGCTGCTTCTGCTTGATGGGGTGAAGTGTTTGTGCCAAAGCGGTGCTTAAAGTAGATCAACCCGTTGAAAATCCCTCCTTGGTAGAATAACGAAGAGGAAAGGATAGATGAGTGATGTTAATCGCTGTCTCGTCTTTCTGGTTGACCACCAGGAGTAGTTCACTTTAAAAAACACTTTTGCTGATAATTTACTCGCCCCCGTGTCATCCACGATGTCCTTGTCTTTCTTTCTTCAGTCGAAAAGAAATTAAGGTTTTTGATTAAAACATTCCAGGATTTTTCTCCGTATAATGGACTTCAATGGGAACCAAACGGTTCAACGTCCAAATGAGAGTTTCAGTTAATTTTTTTTTTTTAATGAGAGATCGTTTCGCTTGATAAGACCCTTATTCGTCGCCTAGAATCTTTTAAAGCCCTTTGAACAGTTTGCAGTTTGCACTGAAAGTGTCTTTTGGACCTTGAACCGTTTGGTTCCCATTGAAGTTCATTATATGGAGAAAAATCCTGGAATATTTTCATCAAAAACCTTAATTTCTTTTCGACTGAAGAAAAAAAGACATGGATATCGTGGATGACATGGGCGTGAGTAAATTATCAGCAAAAGTTTTTTAAAAGTGAACTACTCCTTTAATAGCTGTATTTCGGAGACGAGAGTTGAGGGGCCGTCAAGGTTGATTTTTGTCCCTTAACTAAAAAAAATCTCCCGCACAGTGTTTCCACTGGTCCAGCCAAGCGCAAGGCTCCCTAATTTAAGATTAGCTCACAGGAAGCTGCAGACAGGGCTCAGATGATCTGATGATAAGCAGCTTTTGTTTTTACTTCAGTCTGATGATGTTATTGTACATTATGGCTAAATGGACAGATGATTAACAGCATCTCTCAGTTCTAATCTTTGCGTTGTTTTTTCATCAGCTTGTTTTGGCTTCTGCTGCCTAACAGGACAGGGCGATATTTCTAATATTCACAATGTATTAACTCTGATTTTTCTGTTGATATAAAATGTATTGGTTCATTTCAGTTTGGTTCAGTTTGATTCATTTCCGTTAATCAGTTTAAACCATCCGTCTCAGTGAATTGATTCAAAAATGTGTGATATTTACTAAATATTTTTAGCAAAAACATGATTAATATTTTTTTGTTTAGTAATATTTTTTTGATTATACTTGATTTAGTAATATTTAGGTAGAAATTAAAGTCATAAAAGTTTTATTTATTTCCATGAATCAGTTCAAAGGATCCATCTCAGTGAATTGATTTAAAACTTCGACAGTTCATTTAAATCCTCACTCAAAAATGTGTGACATTTACTAAATACTTTTATAAAAACATGATTCATATTTTTTTGTTTAGTAATATTTTTTGATTATACTTGATTTAGTTAATTAGTAATATTTTGGTAAATATTGCTATGTCATAAATGTTTGATTTATTTCCATGAATCAGTTCAAAGGATCCGTCTCAGTGAATTGATTCAAAAATGTGTGATATTTACTAAATATTTTTAGTGAAAACATGATTAATATTTTTTGTTTAGTAATATTTATTTGATTATATACTTGATTTTGTCCATTTCAGTTAATTGATTAAAAAAGTCCTTAATTAAAATAAGTAAATACTTGTTTGTTTAGTAATGTTTATTTGATTAATAATATTAAGGTACATAATAATTATTATAACAACAAAATTCAGGTCAATATTGCTTTTATTGTTATATTAGTTTGTATAAATAAAAATGATAACTTATTCTTATTCCTTTTGCTCATTTAGTAACAGGCTAATTAAAAAATATATTTTCACTCTATTTTTACTTCTTGCATTAAAAATAGGAATTTGAATTGAATAGGATACAATTGTTGTTTAAAAATCAAAATACATTGAATATCATTAAAAAACTGCAAAATATTTATATATTTTAAAATATTTAACTATTTATTGCCCACTTGTACAGAGTGTTAAGTTAACAGGGCTCTGATTATTAGCCTAACCAGCAGGTTATTTTAAGGCGAGATTATGAACCAGGATCTTTATGAACAGCGGTAGTTGCATAGACTGTCAATGGAGGGACAGAAATCTCTCAGATTTCATTTAAAACATCTTCATTTGAGTTCCGAAAGTGAACGAAAGTCTTACAGGTTTGGAACGACAAAAGGGTGAGTAATTGATGACAAATTTTTAGGCCAACTTACCCTTTAAATCAAACCAGGATAACAGGGACAGAAAGTCTACATTTAAATCTGAGAATTATAAACGAAAGCATGTCATACTGTCTCTCTCCCCCGCTCTCTCTCTCTCTTTCTCTCTCTCTATTGGCAAAGAGAGTTAACTGCATCTGGACTTATTGAGGGATTTTTAATTATTAATCCTCGGACCCACGCGGCTAGAATTTCCCCGGCGCCTGATTGCAGCTCACTTTAGCTATAGAAGAAAATCATGAGAGCAGAGAGTGTGGATTATTCATGGGATGTGTGTGTGTGTACAATGTTCTGACGCTCTGTCGTGAAGATGCCTCAGAGAGACCTGATATATGCTGTGAATGTTTTACATTATTGATATATAGAAGTTGATGTGGATTTTTAATGCAAAAATCTCTCACAGCTCTTGTTAAAGGTAGGTTTGGCAATTTTTTTTTACAAAATAAACACTTTGTTATTCTGGGGAGGGTGGGGTCTCTGGCTTTCAAAGATAGCTTGCCTACCCTACCTTTAAAGGGATAGTTGACTTTGAAATTAATTTTTGATATGTTTTAGCTTACCTCAAGGGCATCCAAGATGTAGGTGTCTTTGTTTCCACAGTAGTTTCAATTTTGATATTTTTAGGTTAAACTGTTTGTCTGTCAGTCATATAATGGAGGTCTATGGTCACCACCTCAAAGAGCACGCACAGAGAAGTCCAAATTAAACATGATTTAATGACTCGTAAATGTAAGTATGACTTAAGACACGAAACGAGCGGTTTGTGTGAGAAAACAAACAGTATTTATATTATGTAACCACAGTCACAAAGCGCCCGCGCCCTCAGATCACTTGGACGTGGCTGTGGTTACAAGAGGTAAAAACAATATAAATACAGTTCGTTTTCTCACACAAACCGCTCGTTTCGTGTCTTAGGCCATCAATGTGTACTTACATTTACGAGTCATTAAATCATGTTTAATTTGGACTTCTCTGTGCATGCTCTTTGAGGTGGTGATCATAGACCTCCATTATATGACTGACGGACAAGAACGGTTTGACCTAAAAATATCAAAATTGAAAATACTGCGGAAACAAAGACACCTACATCTTGGATGCCCTTGAGGCAAGCTCATCAAAACGTATCAAAAATGAATTTCAAAGTGAACTATCCCTTTAAGGTGCTGCATCATTGCATCAAATTGCTTGTTCAGTATAGATACATAATGTAATGCTTTTCGCTGCATTATGTGCATTACTAATGTAACATTTTTAAATAGTAGTATATGATAGCAATTGCACACCTATAGTATTTTTACTATTTAAAATAACTATTTTTATGTAACTGTTTTCTATTTTCATATATTTTAAAATTACAATTTTTAGCATCATCATAAATCATTCTAATATGCTGATTTGCTGCTCAAGAAAGATTTCTTACTATTATTATTATCATCAGTGTTGAACACAGTTTATATATATTTTATAATGTATTTGTGGAAATTGTGATAGATTTAGTCAGGAATGAACTAACTTTGAACTTTGATGAATAGAAAGTTCAAAAGAACAGCATTTATTGGAATTACAAATATTTTGTGACAATATAAAAGTCTTAAGTTCACAACAACAGCATTTATTACAATTACAAATCTTTTGTGACAATAAACTGTACAAGTCTTTAATGCGATTTTAATATATCTTTGCTGAATGAAGTTATTTCACAACCGTACGCATTATGCAGAGATGAACGTTTCAAATAATAGCGTGCTACATCGTTGTCACATTACCTCAATAGATTGCATTTTGGAATAAACACCATCTGGTGAAAAGCAATTATTTTGCATTATTAATTCAATTTTATGTGAAAACGTCAACTTTTGGAAGTCGGATCAAATAACGAGTCAAGGAAAACATGTTAAAAATCATGGTTGATTAGTCACACGTCAAACAAAGGTCAAGTGTATAAGCTTTGAATATTGCACATTTTTGGGGCGTAAAATGCACAGATTCTGCACACATACTGCAAAACTGGTATGTAGAGGATGCATATGGAAAGTGTGTGTGAAAGTCTGGGTGTGAGTGTGTGTTGCTGCTGCAGCCAGTTGATATGGTCCTTGTACCAGAGGAAGTCCAGATGTCTGGTCAGCATGTGTTAGCCAACAAGCTGCTCTCTGGCTGTGTGTTGCCGTGGTAATTAGCATGTGAGGTATGGGGCACTTGGCATTGGCGCAAAGAGAGCCGTCTGGACTGGCGCCTTTGGGTGTGTTTAAGTTATATAGATTATCATTCATCAGAGTGTATGAAAGCTTCCAGTGCTGTTAGTCTCGTCACTGCTGCAACGAGCAAAGGAGAGAGAGGGACGGCGAGGGAAAAGTGTGCAGGCTTTGCCGCATCGCTAGTGTGTATGTGTGTGTGTGTGGAAGCAGTGACCTGTTTCCCGGACAGCTGGTTGAGTTTGCCAGTGCTGCTGTGCCCTCAGTGACTCAAGATGAATGGCGTGTGTCGGATGCTGGATGACATCACCGCAGCAGGTCGGGGCAGTTGTGGCCTAATGGTTCGAGAGTCGGACTTGTAACCCGAAGGTCACGGGTTCGGTTCTCAACACAGGCAGGAAATGACACCCAAACTCTCCCTGGGCACCACCGGGTGTGAGTGTCCACTGTTTGCAGTGTGTGTTCTCTACTCACTGCTCACACACTTTAAACGATTATTGGTGGTTTAACTTAAAGTGTGAGAAGCCTTGAAGTTTTAAGTTCATTGAGTTGATGCAATGAAGGTTGTGCAATGTCTTTTTTCATAGTGTATGTGATTCTGACCTTGTAGTTGTGGTTTGGATGCAAGTTTGATGCAACATGTCTTCAGAGGTTAGATGAATCTGATAAAATCTTTATGGAGTATTCTCAGGGAGAAAAAAAAAATCATTTTAGAGATGAGTCATGATGGTGGATACTGTATGCCAGGCATAAAACCACTGACTAGTCAAAATAATCAAGTTGACTATTGTATATATATATATTTTTTTTATATCTTTTTTATTATTTATTTATTTAGTTTTATATTGTAAAAATATTTATTTTAGAAACTGTATATATTTTGTATATTTATATATTTTTCTTTTTCATACTTTAATTAACATGCTATGCTTTATCTCATATTTATTGGTTATTATTTTAATTATATTATAATTATATTATTTTATATATTATTTATATTATATTTATTAGAGCCAGACCGATATATCGGCCGATATTAGGCATTTTCCAAAATATCAGTATCGGCAGTTATAATGGCCGATAAATGAATATTTGAAAAATAAAATAAAAACGGACGAAACACGCTTCAATCATCTCTCCTTGGCCTGTTATATTGAAAATGTATGTTTTACAATTTGCAGTATGATGTTATCTATTGCTAAATTATGGCTCATCATAGACTAGCTAATGCCACTATCATCAGTGGAAGACCGCTAACGTTAACATTAATGAGCTTGGAAACCACAATGAACTTTTTCTGCCTAAATAAAGTAATGATTAATGTATTTATAACTAGCATATCTCTAGTTACAGTCCCTGCATTGTAAAATGTAAGTTATACTTGCGAGGAGTGAACATTTAGACATAGAGAAAAAGTATCAAACGTATCTTGTGCAGAAAAGTTAGCTTTTCTTTTACACGTGTGTGAAATCCAACAAAATTTAATAAAAAAAAAAAAATATCGGCCGATATATCGGAATATTGGATTTTAAAACCCCCAAAATATTTGTATCGGTATCGGCCTTCAAAATCCTTTATCGGTCGGGCTCTAATATTTATATAAATATATATATTGTAATTATATTATTTCATACAATGGGATTAGTCTTTGAATGACACCTGTGAAGAGAACCATATTGAAAATATTGGTTAATATTTTCCCCTCTTACATGGTCTTGATTTTTGGACATATTTCGATTTCAGTTTTAGACTCTTCGCATGGTTAAACCTCTCATGCTGGTCTGAATAATGTTTATGAATAATAGAAGGCTAAGATATGTGCTTATTTAGAGAGCTGGTTAAACTTAAGCTAGTTGTTTGTGTGTATTTTGGTCCGGGGTGAGTGTGTGAGGCGTGTCTGGTAGATAAGTTTTGATGCTGTGTTCAGTGCCAGTCAGTGTGTTGCTAAGTGGACACATTGGCACTAGTCCTGAGGAAACTGCAGCGAATCTCAGTGCCAGTGCAAGGGCTTATTTGCATCGTACTGTTTTTTGAAAAATTGCTCTGTGTGTGTGTGTGTGTGTGTGTGTGTGTGTGTGTGTGTGTGCTGGTCTCATTACGAATACATCTGTCATTCCTGTTTAGAAGTGCTGCTGTAGAATCGTGAGGCAGATTGTACTGAAACAATTGTACTTTTTTTAAAAACAGATTCAGAAAATAAGCATTTTTCTGCATATATATTTGTTTTTGGTGTAAAAAAACCCATTATTAGCTTTATAAGTGAACCTCAAAACATATTAATGTCATGACTCCCTTAAGATGGCTTTTACAAATATATTTTTAATATTAAAATGTTATATTATTATTTATTTATTTATATGAGTATTGCTTTTGTATATGAAGAGTTCAGATGCAAAAGCCTCTAAGTGCCATTTGAAATTTTCTTCTAGAATGATCATTTTTATCAAGCTTGTATATTTAAGCTCAGTAATTACTGAGCTTAAATATACAAGTTTGATAAAAATGATCATTCTAGAAGAAAAGTTCAAATGGCACTTAGAGGCTTTTGCATCTGAACTCTTCATATTCATATTTATTTGAGTTGTATATCTATTTATTGTGTATTTATTTATTTATAACTAGACTATCCAGTATGTTTGTTGTTACATGTCTTTAAATTGGCCACATGTCCAGGATTTTCCCCTGCCTATGGCTTGAGATGCTGGGATAGGGTCCAGCATCCTCAATATGACAATTGGTTTGGATAATGGATGGATGGATGTCTTTAAATTACACATTGATCCGAGTAAAACACTGGGCTGACACATTTATCTGAGTAAAACACTTACCCAAAGGCTGGATAAAATCCTAATAAGATCAAAATAAATAGTTTCCAAACATCCCATATATAAAATCTTGGGGGAAAAGCAAATTAAATGGTGAGTTGAAAATCCTGTCATGCACGCTCAGGAAATTCTGCATGATCTTATGTAAGTCCCTCAGTTGAATAGATGACTAGTGAGAGAGATTTTGCAGATACATGCACATTTACACACACATGCTCATACCGGCATACACGCACGCTCAGAGCCATTAGTGAAATGGCACATTTCTGCAGCCAGAGCTTCATTAAGATAATGTACGCCTGTGTGTGTGTGCGCTGTGCCTCAGTAATTAAAGCTTTTTATTATTATTAGTAGTAGTAGTATCAGTCCTCTGGGATGCAGCCCAGTCCCTGGTGCTTTCCACAAGCCCGCTGCCAAGAGAAGCTGAAAGAGAAGCAAAATGTGAGAGAACTTTGAAGGATGTAGCTCATTTACCAAACTTGAATTGTCTTTTTTTTTTCACAGAGCACGTTTAAGTTCAAGTCAGAAAGCGACATCCACCTGGCTGAGCACCATAAGCAGGTTTTGTATGATGGGAAGTTGGCCAGCAGCATTGCCTTCACCTACAACGCTAAAGCCACCGACGCACAGCTGTGCCTGGAGTCCTCGCCCAGGGAAAACTCCTCCATATTTGTGCACTCGCCACATGCCCTAATGCTGCAGGTCGGTTTTTATCTTACACACAGATAATCACTGCTGTTGTTCACTGATTCTTGAGGACTAACAAAAAAAGAGAGAAAATGGTTTGGAATAATTAATTTATTAAAGGGATACTTCACCTGTATTTAAAATGGGTCATTTATGTAGAAGAAATGTGAAATTATTTCTGAATTTGGAGCTTTCTAGACTGAGAAAAGACAGAAAATGTATTTTTGGCTTATGTGGATGAAAGACAACAACTCCCAGAATGCACTTGCTTCGCTGCCCTTGGAGGCCACGCCTACCGGTAACAGAGCAAGTCTAGGCTACTAGTGAGTCTCCGTGATGAGTCTGCCTGTACTGAGTGTAGTCTTTAGCCTCTGGGCAAAACATCCTCCGATGACGCAAAATGACGATGAGGATTTTTCCAGACAAAAATACATAAATCTCTCGTCTCAAGGGGATATAAAGGTGGAAAGCATGGCAATTCGAAAATACCACAGGTTTACTACTAATACAAAGCTTAATGCTAAATCCTGAAGTATCCCTTTAAACTAAATGTGTATTTCAGTTTTGGTGTAACTTCCTGTTCCTCTATTTATTTTTTATGTGAAAACTGTTTAAATGCAAAAAAAAAAAAAAAATAGCCTTTTAATCACACATTTATTTTGGACACTTATAAAATGAGGCAAGTTATCTAAGAATTCGAAACAGTATATTTATAATTTGGGGAATGACATTGACATGTTGTAACAGAGAAATTATAGAGAGTGTGCTATTGTCTTTTTTAGGCTCAACATGTTGCTTATCATGATCATAGAGCTGATTATAATGTACATTATATTGTATACTGTTTTAGTATGAAGATTTTCCAGAAAGCGCTTTATATTCGAAGTCATTTTTTGCATGCAGGATGTGAAGGCTATCGTCACTCACTCCATCCACAGCGCCATCCACTCCATTGGAGGAATCCAAGTTCTTTTCCCGCTCTTCTCACAGTTGGACTACAGGCAACCCAACGACAGCCCTGTGGAGACGACCGTCTGGTGAGTATCGACCATACACACTGCAGATCCACTGAGCCAAATATAGAACGTCAATTTGGTGTTTAGTAGATCTTCTTTTTTTACTGATATTGAGAACATGACATTTATATCTTAAAGAGAATATTCTACTTTGGAATATTCAGAGGCTATACTAAATACACTACTGTTCAAAGTTTGGGGCCAGTAAGATTCATTTTAAGATTCAAGGACTGTTAGAAAAGAATGATTTTCTATTTCAAATAAAAGTTTTGTTCAACTTTCTATTCATCAGAGAATCTTGTGAGAAAAAAAAAACAGCATAACTTTTTTCATCATTGGTAATAATATGAAATGATCATGTGACACTGAAGACCAGAGTAATGGCTGCTGAAATTCAGCTTTGGTATCACGAGAATAAATTGCATTTTTAAATATGTTAAAATAGAAACTGTTATTTTAAATTGTAATAATATTTCACAATATTACTGCTTTACTGTTTGTTTGTTGTTGTTTTTTTCAATCAAATAAATGCATCTTTGGTGAGCATAAAAGACTTGCACCTAACCTCAAATTTTTGATCGGTACTATAAACTTTTTTAAACTATTTTTTAAAAATAAGCCTTTTTTTGTTTGTTTGTTCTTTGTTTGTTCTGTTGGATCTGATTGTTTTGATAATCCAAACCTTACCAACACAGAAACACTGGCTTATCCAGTGGTCATCCATTACATCATATGTGCCATTATTACATCTGTGCATCATTTTCATTTTGTGCAAATTTTTGAGTGAATTTTACTAATTCAGGTGCAATTATTCTATAATATTGTTTGCTATAGCTGAATTATGTGCATTGACTTTTATAATATTTTTACACTATCAGTATTTATGATGCAGGTCATTGTATAAGGCATAGTCTATTTTAGTCTTATTTATTGTGCTGTACTTCTGGTTTTATATTGTAAGAACCGTAGTTATTTGTTGTCTATGCTACTTGTACACTTATCTATCTCTGTTCTGTCTTTGCTGTTGCAAATCCGTACAGTAATTTCCCCATTTTGGTTTTCTTAATATTCTTATTCTTTCCAATTTCTCAAAAACTCCACCAGTGGTTATTGAGAAACCTGTTTGAAAACAGTCATTATTATTTGTATTGGAAACGTTGAAGTAATGTCTACATGCCCCTCTCAAAACTTGAGTCCAAAGCTTCTAGTTTTGCGTTTGATAATAATGTAGACTGAAACTCAAGTCAGTCACTGTCAGGAACGTCTGCCATGAATTATAAATGGAATCTGTCATTCTCGGATAGAAATAGAGCGTGACTGAAGGAATGTAGGATTTTGAGAGATTTATGCTCATATAGACACTAGACCGCTCGAGGAGGGATGGGAGGCTGGTATGGCCGTACCCTCGTTTCTCAGGTCACCGTGTGGTTCTGCTCTGTGAGCTCACAGGCATGGCGAGTAGATTAGAGATCAACAGTGAGCTGGCAGGCATAATCAGCGAGCAGAGGTCTGTGGGGTATCGATCAGTGGTAATGTTCCCCGCTGGGGTTTACAGTCTGCGGGAGATGGGTGAGGTCAGCGGCCCATCCGTCGGCTCATGGCAGTTCAGAAAGAGACATCAGCAATCTCATCGCCTCAACAACATCATTTAAGAAACCAAGACAGAATTTGTGCTCGCTGATAATATTGCTTCTAGGGAGGGGAACCATCATTATGAGTGTGTGTGCGTACTGTACATTTTGTATGTATAAATAATATATATTATCCTTGAGGTGTCCTTAAACATTTAACTACATTTAACATATTTAAATACATTTTGTTTGTTCATTTACTCTTGCAGTGCCACTCTCCTCGCTTTCCTAGTGGAGTTGTTGAAGAGTTCAGTAGCCATGCAGGAGCAGATGTTGGGTGGAAAAGGCTTCCTGGTCATTGGCTATTTGCTAGAGAAGGTGAGATAGTCATCCACTCGTTTTGCCTGAATTGTGTCCGATTCAAACTTGCACTGCTTGAATGAAGCTGGCATCGTGGCCCTGTCCCATAACCAAAATCTTTGTCCCCTTGTCTAGCATTTCTGTTAATAAAAAAGTGTTAGAAGCCTGAAATACACATCTGTCTCACCTCCTATTCTCTCTGTCTCTTCATCAGTCGTCTCGGATGCACATCTCCAGGGCGGTTTTGGAGCAGTTTCTGTCCTTTGCCAAGTATCTCGATGGGTTGACACATGGAGCTCCTTTACTGAAGCAGCTATGTGATCACGTTTTGTTTAATGCTGCCATCTGGATCCATACACCAGCTAAGGTGAGCTCGTCCACACACGTGAAAAGTCACGTTTCACATCTGTCCATTGTTGTT